ACACTTACTGTATGACCTTGTTAAATCTCTCTCTGCCTCATTGTTCTAATCTGATAACTGTATAATATATACAGCATAATATGTACAGTAATTTGAATACTGTTTATTTGAATACCATATGTTTCCAACTAGAAAGTAAACACCATGAGCATAGACTACTGGTCACTACTGTACCCTGTCATTCAGCAGTCTGACACTTAGTAGGTGCTAAAATGCGTACTTGATACATCTGAGCAAGTGAGTAGTTAAAAATGATACAGCCCTAGAATTTGACAATGAACTATGAACCCACAAGATGTATAGCTTAGCGTTCTGGCAAAATTATCACTGTAAAAGACATATGCTTTGAAATTAAATAACTGGCATATCTAAAACTAGCCCAAACAATCCTCAGAAATCGTTTTAAACATAGTCCCTTTAATAACAATGTTTTCCTAAAATGTAAACTGTGAGAAAGAATACATGTGGAGAAACCGATTCTTCAGTGACTCTTCAAAGACTTCTCTGCTACCATAGATTTTAAGCTTTCGGACTTTTTTTTTTTTTTTAACCGTTCCATAGCATGCAGTAGAAAATCAGCTTTTAAAACATCTTCTTCATCTGATTCACCACTCCTTAAAGAAAAATATGTAAAACATACCACTCTTACTTGGAAGACTGCTTGGGGATATGAAACTGAGTGCAAAGAAATAAAACAGAAAACCGTGGAAGTCTTTCATAACCTAACATTATACACTTTGCAAAGTAACTTTGTTTCATGACTCACAAATTACGATCCCTTCATAAAGGCTCATAAAGGAGCTAATTTAAAGAATTTGTCACACCATGTGAAAAACTGTAGTCCTCCTGACCAAGAACAAATTTTAAACCCACCCATGTTTTGCTTAATTCAGGACTTTTAATAGACGTTACTACTCTTCCCTTCTAGTATTCTTAAAAGCCCTAAACAAAACACAATTGCCCTTACACTCAGTCCCCAACAGATAGTAAGTACACATCAAGTCTCATTCAGACGAGTCTAGGGCATTAAAGTAAACAAACGATAAAAAAAAAAAAGCTAACGCTGCTTCTCAGGATTAAGGTGGATTCCCAGGAACAAGACTGCCACCTGGACACATGTTGAAAATGAGAGAGAAAGAGAGAGAGAGAACTCCTCTCAGAGTAGGAAATGGAGAAAATTTCCACAGTACTTAAAGTTTGCACCTTTGCACACACCCCGTCCCCCCAGCACCGGGCTGGGGGCTCCGCCTCGCTAGAGGCCCCAGGAGAAGGAAATGTGCACTTGACTTCCGTCCGCTCGCCGGGCAGAACGAGACCCTTCCTTCCCGCCGGCAGACCCCCCCCCCGGCGGGACGCCT